AAGGGGGCCACAGCCCTGTTCCAGGAGCAAAAATATTAATTACTATAAATTTAAAATAGTTCTTGATATTTGGTACTCAAATATTTCTTCTTATTTCCCCTAACTTTTTTTGCTAAACTATATTAATGAACCCATTAATTTATTTATAAAATAATAAATTTTCACAAACATAGGTAATATCACACAATTAACAAAACACACCATTTTAAAAAACATACCCCCTCAGAAAATAATTAAAATTAAAATATATGATTAAAGCTTGTACAACAGTTGTTCTGATGTGTTGTCGTGCATCCTATTTTGGGAACTCCAGCACCAATGCCAATACCAATAGTACATTTTGTTGCAGAAATAAATTCTCGCCTTTTACTCAGACAAGGGAAAACAAGAGGTACTTCAGGAATGCTGAGGTCAGGAGAAGGTTTATTACTCATGCATGAGGTCCCAGACCTGGTATCCCAGTAGGTTTGACTGGTCTAGAGATAAAGGGTTTCTTTTATACATTACAAACTTGCATTGATAACATTGGTCAGTTAGCATAAAAATTCTTGACAAAAGGGGGAAAGATGCAGATATTTGAGGATGGTCTGGGAGATCAATCAGCCTGGCTGGCTGTCAGGACTGGTTAAAATGTAACCTTGTTTAGATATGCTCATTAAGGAAGCAAACTTGTTATCTGCACTTACTTTCCATATTTACTGCACCAGGCCTATGACTCCTTAGCAGAAAACAGGAAAGATTTTATTTGCTTAGCAATTCCCTTTCAATTTAATTTTATATTCTAGTTCATGATAATTCATACTCAAGTGTCTTTTTCAAACCAAATCACAATCTCTTTATAGCACAATATTTTTTTTAAGATTTATTTATTTATTTATACAAGCACTGGGTATAGTCAGAAGAGCGGGAGGGTGAGAGAATTCACGAGAGCCAGAACGGGGATCAGAGCAGGCAGACTGAGAAGTACACTGCTGAGGGGAGCAGCGGGCATGGGAGGAGCGCTCTGTGCACTATGTGGGACCCTCGTCTGGTGGCCGGGGATCGAACTGATGCTGCAGATGCTGTGGGCAGTTTCCCAGTCCAGCGCTCAACTGCTGCGCCACCAGGGAGGCCCTATAGCACATTTTTTGTATTATTCTCTGCATTATTTCTCCTCTTAGGAGTGGACTATTGATAGGGTCTTTCATATACTTTGAAAGGAAGCATCCCATGACTGAATTAATCTGGGCTTGCTCAATTTGACTTTTTAAGGTGTTAAAGGAGCAATGTCACGGATTTTAACTTTTATCATCTGTTGACTGAGGTCCCTGGCATGTGCCTCACAGAGTTTCATTATTTTTAAGGGACAAAAAATATGGTTAATGTTGGTGGAAGGGCGGGACACTGTGTCTAATATGATAGGTGCTTTGGATGTAGTTGCTGAATCTGAGATAATAGACTTGTTTCTGGAAAGGAGCACAGGCTAGAAGGGAGGAGTTGGTGTGCCCATCCTGCTTGTGGTCCTGGGGTCTCCAACAACTCACTTGTGTAAATGAAAAACAAAGTGGAATCTGAAGCAAACAACCCCCTCTTTCATATTTATGTGCCTAAGGTTCTGGGATTCCTTTTACAAAGTATTATTGTACATATGACACCTGCACCATGTTTTTAAAAAGGAAGTCACAAATTCTAATAAACAGAATATGGTTGTCTTGCAAAACATGAATTTTTAAGAAAAAAATATTCAACACACAATGTTATAAAGATACAAGGTAAATAAAAAGGAAAGACATTTTATTTATTGTTATTTCAAAATATATCAATAGCTTTCCTCCATTTGGAATCTTAGATCTTATCCATTTTACTGGGATGGTCACATCCACTGTATTCCTTTTGGCTAAAATCAACAAGTCCTATTAGATTTGTTTTCAGATTCCTTTTTTTTAATTTACTTATTTATACAAGAACTGGGGTACAGGCCAGAGGTGCCGGAGGGTAACAGGATTCACCAGACAGAGTGGGGACCAGAACAGGCAGAAAGACTGAAAACACTGCTGAGGGAAGCAGCGGGTGATGCAGGAGAGGTCTGCTGCGCCATGTGTGTTCCTCCCTGGCCTGCAGGGAATCGAACCCAAGCTGCAAAGGCCGCAGACAGTTTCACTGTGTGGCACTCAACCTGGTGCGCTACTGGGGAGGCCAAGTTCTCAGATTCTTGATGGCTAGAAAGAACCACACCAGATGAGATAAAGTACAGAGTCCCAGAGATTTAATCTAAAGGTCCAGACTTAACTTCAGTACCTGGCTGCTCAGAAGCATGCTTCCTGGGACAGGGTCTGCCTCACCTTCCACTGTCTCTGACCCCTGGTTCTATCAGAGCAGCTTCATTCATGAAATCTGCAGGATGACTCAGGCTGAGCACAAGTACAGCCTGCTCAGGCAACCCATTGTTGTCGGGGAAATACATGTAGGCCTGGGGTCAAAGAATTCAGCAGAGAGAGATTGGAGAACAGAGAAAGGATTTATTGAAATACATGACAAAGAAAAGCCTTGGGCCACAGGGGACAATTCAGCACTTTTGAGGGGTTGGGGCTCCATTTTATAAACTCTTTTATGGGCTTTTCATGACTGGGGAGTCCATTTGGGCCAGTTACTGCTAAGATGTCTGGTCTTAGGTGTTGACCTTCAACAGAGGATGTGTCCTGGCTCTGCTTCCACTGTCTCCGTCAGTGATCAGTCTGATGGCCAGGTTCCCAGTGCAATCTTATCAATTGCATTTGATCTATACAAGCTTCCTTAACCTTCCTACTGCACAAGGGGTGGGGACTAGTTTTAACCTCATTAAATTGTACCCAACCACACCTGATTTCTCTTTTCTTGGAGACCACAGAGGTCTGAACAGAATCCCCAAATTCCACCTGAGGGCTGAAGGAAAGACATGATTACCTTTGATTCTGTCCAGGCCCAGATTCCTCCCCTATTCATTTTTTTAAATGTATGTCTCTTAGAGACAAATATTATTTTCATGCCACTTAGAAAACAGCAGATATATACCCCCATAACAAGAGAAACAGAGCAGAGGTAAGCAAATGTCACCCACACAAATGCTTTTCTAGAGTCAAAATGGAGCTTCTCCTGCACATGTGCCATGTCAGCAATTGAAATCTAGAAATCTTTTGTGTCCCTATAAATACTGTGCTTGACCAGAAACACATTCCCCAGGCCAGAGAGCCAGTCCCTAAAGTTTGGGGATCTGTCGGGATTTCCATGTTCAAGTATGCAACCCCAGCCAGTCAATTTAAGCCTAAAAATGCTTGTCCGTTATTCCCCATTGACCTGCTACCCTTAGCTGGAAATCCCCACCCTACTAGCTGGTAGTGCTCTGTCTCCCTCTCTATTAACTAACTCATGAGCACAAACATCCCTTGGGAAGAGTATGCCCTGTTGTGAGGAACTGTATTCTCCCACTCAAAGCTTTGTGTTCCCTTGAAATAGAAAAAGAGACATCAAACTCATCACCGGATTGTTTTATGAGGTGGGTTTGGAGAGGTGTCTGGTTCAGGGAGCAGAGGTCTTGGGTTACCTCAGAGAAAAGTTTCATCAAAACTCTCAGCTCCACAGAGTGAGTTTCCCCTGGAGGCAGGGACATTTATTTATATTCACAAGAACAGGTTTTTGACATAAAAAATAGAAAGGAAAGAAAAGGATGCTAGCACAGACACAAGGGGGCGAAAGAGCTGCTCCTGAAAGGGACAGGTTTGCTCAAGGGAAGCCTGCACCCTGTCAGGGGCAGCCAAGGAGGGGAGCTACCTTTGCTGCTTTCCCAAGGAGAGATTTGGTGAAAAGAAGCAGCTGCACAGTCACAGGCAGGCAGGAGAGCTGCATGTTGCTTGTGCAAAAATTGCACGAATAGAGTCTTCTCTTTGGGAGGGGCTGTTTCCTCTGTGGAATTGTAGCTGCTTTTAATTAATTATTTCTGGGGTTGATGCCTAGGAATTTTTCTATATTTGTTTGAGCAGTTAGATTTGATGTTTTACAATGTCTCCCAATCCACCTTAGATCTGCTCCTCTGGGATACTTTACTTTTCTATAGCTTGTTTAAAGACTATGATTAGTCATCATTTCTACCCCTACTTCCCTTCTCTGGTCTCTAGGAGCCAGTTTCTGGTCTTTCAATACCTTCTCCCAATTTTTCTACTGAGTCCATCATTTTATATTTGTCGTTGACACATCAAAAGGAGCCTCTGGTTGAGGTTGTGGTAGGGGCTAAGGAGAAAGGGAGGGCTCCAAGTCTGGTGTCCGAACCTGCTTGTATACGCTGCATAGGCTACATGGAAACACCATGTGATCAATATCTGTTGTTGTCTTAGAACTCTACTTTCAGAAACCTGTTTACTGTCCATGCAACCCCATGAGGCCCTTCTTACAAATGGGGAAGAGGAAGTGAAGTGACTTGCCCAAGACCAGCGTTACCCATCCATCATGTCACTGAAGGCCATTCACTCTCGCCTCAGAAGACCGCTGCATCAGATGATCCCATGTCAGCTCAGTGGGCAGCATTTTGGACAGGGATTGCTGTTCTGGGCTTGTCCCTTCCTTTGAAGTAAGAAGCCATCAACTGCTCTTTGTTCTATTAGGATCAAGTGGCTAAATGAAGCCCAAGTTGTCTGCAGTCACACTTGACTCTTGACCCCAACCTAATTTCCTTTAGGTGTGCAAAACTTATTAAAAATACCAACCTGCTTCCCCATCTCTAAGCTGAACGCAATGTTATTTATTCCATAGGGTTATTTTCAGGACTTAATGAAACAATGAACATAAACCATTCAGTGCAGTGCGAAAGGAGTAAACGGCCAAACTGTTCAGCTCTTGCTGCTATTGTTAGTCCACCAACTTTCTGGAGCATTTCTCAGAACTGTCACATTTATCAGCCCTCCCCTCGCCACGTGGTCAGACTTTTGTCTTTTCCCAGCCCTCTCCCTCCTTCCCCTTTTCTCTCACAGTTATCTTCTGGCCCCAGCCAGGAAGCAGCTGCTCAGGTCCTAACCTGGCCCCTGCCCCCCATCAAGAAGGCTCCTCCCTGCAATGAGCACTGCGGGGTCTCTGGGCTTCTGTCCACTGGGCAGACACAGAACCATGCTGGGGCTCCTTGCCCTCCTGGGGGCCCTCCAGTTTCCCTGTAAGTCCTGTAATTCCATCTGTTGCATTGCCAGGGTGGGGCTGGGGTGTTGGGGAAGATGTGGGAGGCTGGGGAATGGGGAGATGGGTAAGGAGGCTGCGAGGGTCCCCATGCCCTGCCTCACAGCCGCGTCTCGCAGGCTCGCAGGCAGCAGTCACGCTGGAGCAGCTGCTGTCGGTGCTGGAGCAAGCAGGCAGCTCGGCCATCCTGCCCTGTGTGGTCCGCACTAGGGTCAGCTCCATCCACTGGTACCGCCACCAGGAGGGCAGGGCCCCCGAGAGGCTCCTGCGACTGGCCACGGCCAATTCAGACGTGCAGTGGGATTCGGTCCTGAAAGCGGATAAAGTCAGGGCCACGTATTCCGAGGAAGGCTCCAGCTGCTCCCTGACGCTGCTGAGGCTGCAGAAGGGCGACGAGGGAAGGTACTACTGCGCGGCCGGCCTGGGACACACAGCCTGGCGCCCCGCCCCGGCCACTGCTCAAAAAGCACCAGGATTTCCTAATTCGCCCAGGTCTGGTAACTCCCACCTTTGGCTCCCTGGGGTTGTCCTGGTTTAATCCCACCTCATCCAAGACACTGTGCCTGCGCCCTGGCTGGTCTGCAAATCACCAAAGGGGGCTCATGAGCAGATAGACTCAGTCCCTGAGGACTTGGGGAGCTGCTAGTAGGAAGGGACTTTTGTAAAGAGCGTTCAATTCAGCGTTTCTGAAGCATTTGGAGGAGAATCTTTGCTGTGCAATCCAGTTGCCACGAGCCAAGGTTGTGTTGAGCACTAGAGCAGTAGCCCAGCTGCGCGCGACTTCATTTGCGAAATACAAACTCTATTTTGAAGATTTATCATCCGGATAGTGACATATCGCATCTGTGACTTTTTTGTTGATTGCAGGTAGAAATGACAATATTTTGGGTATTTGCACTAAATAAAAATTTGGTAGTATTTTTAGGAAAGGATTGTGGCTGCCATATTCAGCCAAGATTAAAGATGTAAAGTTAACTCTGAAATATGAATAGCCCATGAGTGCAGATCATGCTTATTGAACCAGTCAAACGTCTATCAGAATCTTGAACATTCATCTGGCATTCCAAACTCCTAGAAGAGTGTTTCTCAAAGTGTGTCCATGGAAGCACTGCAAAATACACTGCATCAGAAGTACCTGGAAGCCTTTGTATAAAAGTGCAGGTTTTGGGTAGCAGCACCACAATGAATCAGAATCTGGGACTGAAGCCTTAAAATGTCATTTTCTCAATAATCTTCCCAATTGATTTTTACTCAAAGGATATTCAAGAACTTATGTGCTAGCAGTGACAGACAGTGGCCTCTCTGAAATGGACCAATTCTCAGTCCGACTCATGAATGTCTTCTGGAAAGGTTCTCAGGGACTCCTTCATCCCACACACACCCCTCCCCCACATTCCATTCTGGCTGCCCCTCCTCTGCTGTTGTTGCTCTGACAGATTATTCCTTTCTCCATGATGAATGCAAAACCCCATGCCCAATGTTTCAGAGATGTTTTATAAATCTTTTATCACCACCATAATAATTTTGCTCTCTTCATATGTGACATATACAATTATCAGGGCAAGGAAAAGAAGATAATGTGCAATACTGAGCTCAGACTTGTGAACAGTGATAAATATTCTAGCTGGCAAAAGAGCAAAGCCGTCTGCGTAGACTTGGCGTCACAGCAGTTGGGACTCTCTGTGAAGCAGCTATGCAAGAATCTGTAGTCTGTGGGTAACCTTCTTTAAACCCCACTCATGGCCAGTGAGCTGGACTATAAAAATTACAACAAGGAAACACAGCCTTGCAGCAGCACAGTCACAGTGCAGCCCTTATCAGTGAGGTAAGTGACATCTAAAGCCCAGCATTGCTCTCCTCTGTGCAAGGAGAGCATCAGCCCCTCTTTAGGTCAAGTTAACTGAGGACCAGAAGACCCCAATCCCACCCCACCCCAGCCTCATTAAGCACAATTACATTTTTGATATTGCATATTATTATATTTTTTTTTCTGTGGTTTTCATGTATTTCAATCAATCTCCTTTTCGGGCCTCTAGGTTTCATGGCTTAATTGAAAAATGTCACCACTCTATGATGATACAACAACACTGAAAGCTTGCTTCCTGTGTGACAGTCTGGGATATTGGGCCTTCGGAGTTGTCACTGAGGCAGCCTCATATCGCATGCATGTATCCCTGACAATACGTGCCCAGTCCCCTTTTTATATCCCAGCTATCTGATGAGACAGCAGAATATGAAGCACCTTAGAGAAAGAGGCAAAAAAATGATTAAGGTATCCTATTATATTATTATTATTATTTTTTTAACCATATGGCCAAAAAAGGTATAAAGCTGGTGAATGATAATCTGTGTACATGTCATAAAATTCCACCTGCCTTTGCTATACTGTTTAATTACCGGTGTCCCGTCTATAAATTCAAGTAAACTGCAGCTTTTAGTAAATAAAGTGCAGGGTGCCCAGCTAAGTATGAATTCAAGACAAACATGAAATTTCTTTAGACTAAGTAGGTTTCAGAACTGTCCTACACAGTGTATTTTTTTTCCTTTAAATCTGACAGCCCTGTGTGAGGTGACCTTTATTAGGATGAACAGAAATCCTCTACCTGAGTTTATACCCCCACACAGGCACGGACACACACACAGCCACTTACTTTAGAGGAGAGTAAAAATCAGCCCAATATAACTGATCCAGTTTTTTTTTTTTTTTTGGTTGTTTGTTTTTACTGAAGTGGGTCCACTGCTTAACACCTTTGCTGTGGGTGCCTTCAGTTTACTCACAAGTATAAAAAGCAAAGTGGTTCAGGGTAAGAATAAAAAGATCACATCAGAGAAAATACCTTTGTGGCAGCTCCATTGCTGGGCTCTTGGTTTATGGGTCATGATCAGAGAGCTAAGCCCTCAGACTGGTTCTGGCCCATTCCAGGGCAAGGAAGTGGGGGAGCCTGGCAGCTGTGTGGAGTGGATCTGCACCCACAGTGCCCTGAAGATCCTGTGCACCTGGCAGTCACAGAGCCTGTGGGAAAGCAGGCAAGGTCCCCAGCTTTGCTGAGGTTTTTGGCCTACACTCAACTTCCTAGAACTTGTGCCTGCTCTGGTGATGACACAGCACTGGCAGGAGTTGTTGCTGCTTCCTGAGAATCTGTGGGGCGGCATAAGGCAGCGCTGGGCACAAAAAAAAAAAAAAAAAAGAATCGGGGCCCCTACATCCACCTAGTCTGATATTCTGTGGACTCTAGTCCACTCCTTTGCCAGCCCACTGTGATGAGGGTGATTTGCATGAAGAGTGACTGGTTCTCAACCATGTCACAGCCCAGACTGTGATCATTTTGGTCAACCAACAGCTTCCTTTAATCATTTAGGGAATAAACAGAGTGTACAATCCTGGATTACTGACACCCTTGTAAGAATCTTCCCAAACACAAGCATGCTAATTTTACTATGAATTTGTATTACATATCCCTCTGGGCTTCCAGGTGCTGTGGGTACAGGGGAATTTGACCTCAGGTAGGTCACTGCACACACAATGGGGCTGCAGAACTGGGCAGCAAACCACAGAGACCTACAACCATTCAGGGATCATGAAATCATAGGAAAATATGATTCAGGATAAATAGACACTTCCCTTTATTTCTGCAAGATCTCACCTGAGGGTTAACTGAAACAGAAATACAAACAATAATGTCTATTGGAAACTTCTCCCTAAGGTAGCAAGTTTTTTATGGTTCTATTGTCACCATAATTCTGCTCTCTAGACATGTGACATGTACAATTATCAGGACCAGGTGAAGAAGATTATGTGCAATGCTGAGCTTAGACTTGTGAACTGTGATAAATATTCTGGTCTAGCTGGCAAAAGAGCAAAACCCTCTGCATAGAGTCAAGTCTGGCTGGTGCCACCCTCTCTGTAAAGCAGCTCTGCAAGAATCTGCAGACTTAGGTAACCAGTCTTTAAACAACCATTGATGGCCCCTGAGCTACTTAATGAAAACTGCAACATGGGAACCCAGCCTTGCCTCAACTCAGTGCATTCTCTGCTCAGGAGGAAGTGAATTCCCAAGCCCAGCATGCCCCCCATCTGTGCATAGGTTGTGTTAGCATAGCTTCCCATCAAATTAATTTAGGACCAGAAGCTCCCACCTCCACCCCACCCAAACCCCACTGAGCACAATTACACTTTTATGTTACAGTTAGTTTTGTTCTGAGGTTCTCCTATATTTTATCAGTCTCTGTTTCTAGCCTCTCAGTTTCATGCCTTATTGAAAAATGCCCCCACTCCATGGTTATACATAAAAACAACAGTGAGGACATTGAAAGTTTGCTTCCTGCAGGACGCTCTGGGATATTTTGCCACTGAGGCAGCCTCATATCACATACATGCATATGTCCCTGACAAGAAAGGAAGATCAGCCCAGTCTCCTTTTGTCTATACCCCAGCTGTCTGAAAAGACAGCAGAACATGAATCAATCATCTGAGAGAAAGGGCCAAAGCAATGATGGAGTCATCCTACTATTCTATTATTAATATTTTAAACACAGAGCCAAATAATTTATAAAGGTGGTGAACAAAAATCTGTGACCATACCACACACATTCTACCATGATTTTACTACACGTTGTAGATTACCAGTAGACCCAGTTCCACTAAACTGCCATACCATTATACCCTCTGACGGCAGGACTGCCAAATAAAGTACAGAGTGCCCTAGTAAGCTTGAATTCAAGATAAACATGAAATTTTTTTTGATTGAGCAGGTTCCAGAATTGCCTACCACACTGTTTTATGTTCTCCAAGTAAATCCGGGAGCAATTTGTGAAGCAGCCTTTTATTGGGACCAACTGAAATTCTCTAACTAATTTTAACCCCCCTGGGCACAGACACACACACCCATTTGCCTTTGAGGAGAGTCAAAGTACCCAATAGAACTAATACTAACTAATACTCATCTGATTTGCTGTTGGTAGCGATGTTGACTTAGAAGTATAAAAAGCAAAGTGGTTTAGGGTAAGATAAGGTAGTTGCATCAAACAAAAGACCCTGGTGGAAGCTTTAAAACTGCCACTGAATTGCATGCAATTAGGTTGACTCAGGGCTGCTCACTGCACTGGGCACAGGCAGCTTTGTCTGCAGTGCCCCTCCCCAGCCTGCTCCCCCTGCTCTCCATCTGCCTGAGGTCTGGGCCCCCTGCCCTGGCTCCCCTGGAGGGGCTGCTCTCAACTGCCACAGGAAAGGCTCATAAAGGGTTGGAGCAGAGTCAGAGCTCCTCCCCCAGGGCCTCCAGCACCATTTCCTCTGCACCATCAGCCTGGCCTCTCCTAGGACAGAGCCTCAGTTACCTCACAGCCCCTGGCTGCCTGTGTATGAAGCCCCAGCTGCATTCCCAGCCTCTGCCCATGGGATTTCTTGTTGAGTAGGATTTCACTTGTGAGACCTTATTAGACCCCTAAGGGCTGACACATTCCCTTCCAAGGGTCAGCAGGAAGCCATGCTGTGGGCTCTAGGTCTACTCCTAGCTTTCTTGGCTCCTGGTAAGTATATTGCTTAGAGCTCATGGGATTTTCTTTATTTTTTGTCAGTGAGAGGCCACAAGAAGGGATTCGAGCTACCTCTTTCTCATGTTTTCTTCCCTTCACAGCCAGTCCGATATCCTTCAACTCAGAATGGAGAAAGTTGTCAATAACCAAGAGGACTGGGTCGTCCGCTGTAATCACCTGTGATATTGTTGACAAAACCGTCAACTACATCCACTGGTACCGACACCAAGAGGGAAAGGCCCCACACCGCCTTCTCTACTTTTCGTTCACTGGCTCGAAGATTGTGTTAGAAGACGGAACTAGTCCAGAAAAATACCATGTTTATGAAGGCTCGGGAAGGACCTGTAAATTTGTCATCCAAAATCTGGCAGACAGTGATGCTGGTGTATATTACTGCGCCGCCTGGGACAGCCACAGTGACTCAGACTTCCCCTCGCCTGCACATAATTCTGCTTGCAGCTGCCAGGTCCAGCCTTGGTACCCAGGGTGGGCCAGGCCCTGCCTCACTTCCTGCCCTGACTTCACTGTGCTCAGAAGGAAGAGAAGCCCTGAACTCAGTGTCCAGTTCCTCCCTCATATCCACTCTCTTCCCTCTCCCCCAACCAGCTGAGCTCCAAGACTTCCCTAAGGACTGAGCTCCCATCTCCAGGTCTTAGGAAACAACATGGCACAGAGTCCTTTCAGCTCCCCAGGCCCTCGAGCCAGGGGAGTCTGCTCCCTGCACAGACAAGGTCTCCTGGGTGGGGTCTAGCAGAGGAGACATGGGGAGGGCAATGTGGGGAGGCAGCTGTCCTGATACATTGACCCATCCTTACCCAGAGATGAGGACTGGGAATGGGGCTTATTCGTCTCTCAGGAGTAAGAAAAATGATGGAACAAAAATCTGAGTCTTCATGGAGCCCTCAAACTGGGAACTGTCGTCTTATCTTTTAGACAAACTACTGTTTCTCTCACCATAAGCAACCATGGTATTTTTAATAAAGTGAAAGTGTGGAGAAAATTGATCATTATAGATTAGTCTATATCTGTGACCTACTTATATTTATTAGCAATAACAGATAAAATATGTCTCTGTCTGAAACTTGGTAATTCCCAGCCTGACACATGACTGCCTCCTGGGCTTCTACCAGGCACTAAAACTCTCCTTTCCTGGAGGCCCTGCAGCTGCTGCTCTGACAGCTCATCACATTTCTCCATTTTGAGCCCAACACCCAAAGTCAAAACTGCAGCTCTCTCTCATTTCCGTGACCTCAGACAACAAGGAGCTGTGTCCTAACACAACCAGCTTTCACTTGTTCTGTTGTATCAGGGACTGTGTTTAAAGTCTTTTGAAGCTTTAAGGAAGCCTGTTCCTTACCTTGGAGCATCATCATATTCTCATCTACATTCTGCAATAATGGTAGGGCTCTTATTCATTTCCTTCATTTGCCTTGAAGTAATTTTTGTGTTTAAGGTAAGGTAGGATCTTAATTTGGAGGACCATTTCAAAATTTTGACTAATCTCTCATTACTCTTATTTTTTTTCATAGTCAACTTGTGAAAAGTTAGCTTCCATATTTCACATCGCCCTCCCTGTTCTTCCTTCACTGTAGTGCCAGTTGCCCTAAGGATAAAGCGTGAAGTCAGAACTTGCCTTTTAAAACTGAGGCCACAGCCCTGTTCCAGGAACAAAAGATATTAATAACTATAAATTTAAAACAATTCTTGATTTTTGAGAAGCATATATTTCTACTTATTTCCCCACACCCCCACAATGGCTTATTACTTTGTAAGTTTTAGGACCAGTTCCAGCAGTTGTTATAAGCAAAAAGTTACTTGAGCCAAGGTAGAAATGCACTGGGTATTTTACCTTACATACACAAACAATTAAAATTAAAAGATGAGATAAAAGCAAATACAAAAGTAGCATGAACTCTTTCTTGCATACCAAACATGTTGTCTTATGCATCCTACTTTGGAAACCAGTGCCAATGCCAATACCAATAGTACATTTAACATCAAATTCTTCCTATTTCTTGAATTCCACATATCTGTGAGATAATTCCTACTCAGTCTCTTCTTTTTCAAGATTTCTTTTTTCCAAATCTCCAAGCAAAGGGATATAATATGATCCTTTTATAGTACATCTTTGTATCATTCTCTGCATTATTTCTGGTCTTATGAATGGACACTTGACAGTGTCTTTTCACGTATTTTGTAAGGAAGCATCCTGTAACTGAATTAATCCAGGGTTTGATCAACCCCATTTTTTTAAAAGATTTATTTATTTATACAAGCACTGGGGTACAAGCCAGAGGCGGGGGAGGGTGAGAGAATTCACCAGACACAGAGAAGGGAGCAGAACAGGCAGAAGGACTGAAATACAATGCTGAGGGTAGCAGCAGGTGAGACAGGAGAGGTCTGCAGCACCATGTGGGAATCTCCCTGGCTCCACAGTGCTGAGATCAAACTGCAGGGCTATGCCTGCCACAGGGGAGGACCTCAAGTCAAATTTTCAAAGGCACCCTGTGTGAGCCTTAACTCCTGTGTGAGTCAAGGAGTTCAACTTTTATCATCTATTGACTGAGATCACTGGTATGTGCCTCATGCTTTAATTATTTTCAAGGAATACAGAAAGACGGTTAATGTTGATGGAAGGGCATGACCCTGTGTCTAACACCATAGGTTCGCTGGGGGTAGTTGCTGGATGTGAGATGACAGACTTATTTCTGGAAAGGGGCACAGGCTACAAGGGAGGGAGTGGGTGCTCCCATCCTGCCAGGGAGCTCATGGCCCTGGCATCTCCAACAAACACCTGTATAAAATGAAAAACTGGGACCTCCCTGGTGTGCAAGGGTTTAAGTCATAACACTGTGAAGATATGGACAGCCACCTCAGCATGAGTTCCATCCCCAAGCTGGGAGCTAATCCATATGGTGCAGCAGACCTCTCCTGTCTCACCAGCTGCTCCCCTCAGCAGTGTATTTCAGTCAGTCCACCTGTTCTGCTCCCCACTCTGTCTATGGGGAATCCTCTCAAACCACCCCCACCCATGCCACTGGCCTCTACCCCAGTTCTTGTATCCATAAATAAATATTTTTAAAAAATAAAATGAGAAATTATGAGGAACTAAAATGAAGACCCAACCTTTCATCTTTATGAATCAAAGTCTCTATCATCTTTAAGCAGTGTCTTTACAGACACTTAAAAAAAAAAACTATTAAACACATGATGTTATAAAGACATAAATTGAAAAAAAAGAACAAGAGTTGAATACAGACTTCTTGTCAAAATGTATCCATAGCTTTCCTCCATTTGCTTTCCCAGCACTTGCCCATTTCACTACTTAGTCACCTATGCCATGCATTGTATGCCCTATGACTGAAATGAACACGTCCAATTAGATTAGTTCTCAGATTCTTTTTTTTTTTTGAAATGTCTAATTTCTCTCTCTCTTTTTAAGATTTATTTATTTATTTATACAAGAACCGGGGTACAGGCCAGAGGTGCGGGAGGGTGAGAGGATTCACCAGAGACAGAGCAGGGAACAGAACAAGCAGACTGACGAAATACATTATTGAGGGGAGCAGCAGGTGAGACAGGAGAGGTCTGCTCGCCATGTGGGAGCCCGGCCAGGCAGCTGGGATTGAACCAGCGCTGCAGAGGCTGCGAACAGCTTCACAGCACTGCCTGTGCCACCAGGGTAGGCCCTAGTTCTTAGATTCTTGATGGCCAAAGAGCATTGCACCAGATGAGATAAGGCCCAACAATGTCCCGGATAATAATTCTGAAGGTCCAGACTTCACTACATGGCTCCTCATGAACATCCTGTCTGGGGCAAGGTCGGCCTCACCCCCCTACTGTCTAATTGACCCCTGGTTCTATGAGAACAGCTTCATTCATGGAAGCTGCAGGTTGACTCAGGCTGAGTTCAAGTACTGCCCCCTCAGGCAACACATGATCTCTCCTCTGGAGATCACTGATATTGATCAGACCCTCCAAACTCCTCCGGAGGGCTAATGGAAAGACATGGCTACATTGTGACTGTGTCTTGACCCAGATTCCTCTCCTATTATTTTTCTTGATGTATGTCTCTTGTAGATGATTATCTCCTTTCATGCCACTTAGCAAACATCAGAGACACACCCCACTAAGAACAGGGACAGAAGAGAGGAAAACAAATATGACCAGTGGAAATGGATTTTAGAGCCAAGACAGTGCTGCTCCTGCCCAGGTGCCATGTCAGGTACTGAAATCTAGAAGCCTTTTGTGTCCCTATAAATACTGTGCTTGACCAGAAACACATTCCCTGGGCCAGAAAGTCAATCCTTCAAGTTCAGGGATCTGTAGTGATTTCCATGAGTAGGATAAGTAAAGTATCAGGCTTTTCAGCCCACCGCCCCCCACCATTAGGATTGATGGTGGATCCTTGTGGTCCTGAATTCATGCCTGATGGCGGGCACCTGGAGTAGGGTGAGGACATGTGTAGATGGGATTCACCTGGGCTGAGAGATTGGGCTTATAAGGGCGGCGTCAAGGGGACACCAGCAGAACAAACGAAAGAACCACAGGAGAAGAAGAACTACTGGAAGAGCAGAACCACAAGAGAGCAGATGTCCGGAGCCGCCTGGAGCATGCGCCGTGTTGCACATGTGCTTGATGAATTAGGTTTCGATCTACTGTTTCGCCTTCGGAGAAACCCTGTGTTCTCCTGTAAATCACGCGAGACTGAGAGGTACGCTGGGAGGAACGACCGGGGTATAAGAAGGGAACCACGAGCGAGAGAGGGAGAGACTGCGAGGAGACTGTGAGAAGGAGATACTGCGAGGGGTACTGCGAGAGGAGCAGAGAGAAGGCCAGGGAAGTAAGGAAGACAGGGAAAAGAAAGACATGTAAAAGTAGGAAAAGGATAAAGGAAAAATAAAGAAGCAAACTCTAGCGTCAAGTTGTCTCAAGCCCCTCATTTCAATCCTCAGCCCTTCTCTTTTCGTGCCTCCGAATCCCGGGGGTCAGGACAAGCAGGGAAGCAGAGTCCACCAGAGAATGCCGGAGAGCCCAGAAAGAGTGATGACTTGCTGGGGGCTGGGAAGCCTGCCAGCCTCCCAGCCCCCCAGCACCCCTGCCTGTCATGTGCCTGGTAAATCCCAATAAAAGCCCGCAAAAGCCAGGACTCTTCCTTTACCCGCCTGTCTGCTCGGATCATAGAGATGCTGCTTCGTGTCCTTGTGCCCTTACACCAGTCTAAATAAGGTCAGATTTGCAACCCCAGCCTGTGAGCCCAGGCCAAATAGGAGTCCATTATTCTCTGAGTGACCTTCAAGCCTTAGCAGGAAATGCCCACCCTCCCAGCTGATAGGGCCCTGTCTCCCTGCTGCTGCTGCCAATGTTCTATTAACTAACTCATGAGGCCAAGCACCCTTGGGAAGGGTGCGCTCCTGTTGTGAGGAACTGCGTTCTCCCAGTCCATGCTTTGTCTTCCCTTGAATACAAAACAAACTTATTACTAAATTGTCTTATGTTTGACAGGTGACACACCAAAAAGTGTATCTGGTTGGAATTCTGGGCAGATTTCATTAAGATCTATGGCTGATTTTTGCCAGCAGTTGTGATCCTTTAATTTGAGCAATAATTGAATAAAATGGTTATATTATTTATTGAGACAGTTTTTAACGTTGTCAAGATGAAATATATTT